GGGAAGGGGGCGGGGAACAGGCGGCCGCTCATTAGGTGCTCAGGGGTGGGGAGAACATGATGCAGCCTCATGCGGCCTGCCGTGCGGCTCCAGAGGCGACAGCGTGCTGCCTCTTGGCACAGAAGGCTGCTCAGCAGTTCCATGCTCAAAGTCACCCGTTGTCGCTAGCGGAATGGTAATGCAGTGCCCCTTTTACCCCCAAGGAACCAACATCCAGCGAGCCACCACCCCACCCACAGAGGTATGCGAGCCCAGCCACGTGTCTGACGTGCAGCCCCACCTGCCATCTCGACCATGAAGCTGCTGGCGTTGGACTCGATGTTGTCGGCGGTGCCGATGCGCGTGAAGATGCGGTCAAACGGTCTGGAACGCGGGGACGATGGCGGCAAACAGGATAACAGTTTGCTATATCAGTACCCTAGGTCGGGTGATGATTAGCATTGTCTGCTGCTAAGGCCGAACAGGCAATCAACAGGCTGGACCAGGCCTTAGGGGACGCGCTTCGCGGCTCACGTGAGGGACATGAAGCTGGCGGGAACGTAGCAGCCCATCTGGGCCATGATCACCAGCATCGCGACCTGACGCAGTGAGGTGTGTGTGTGTGCGCGCGTGTGTGAGTGTGTGAGTGTGTGTGTGTGTGTGTGTGTGTATGTATGTGTGTGTGCACGTGCACGTGTGCGTGCTCGTGCGTGCATTTGTGCGTACGTGTGTGTTTGTGTGCACACACGTGTGCGTGCGCGTCCGCACGTGCGTGCTCCAGCCCATCTAGCAAGAGCACATGCTGCTAAAGCAGCTGGCAAGAAGACTTCAATCCCCGGCTGCGGCTTGGCTGTTTGAAAACGCGGCGCGCCTGCTTCAGGTAGGTGCTTTTCCCGGCCATGTTTGGCCCCGTGATCAAGTGCAGTGTGGCCGCCTCCGACGCATACGTGTCGTTCGCCGCGTAAGCCACGGGCGCCACAAACACGGCCGCTGCGCCGCTGCCGCCCCCGGCCGCGCCCGGTCCCTGCCGGCGGCCCGGCCTGGCGGGCGGGGCGTCGAGGCCCGCGGCGGCGGCGGCTGCGGCTGCGGGGCCGTGGCGGTTGTGCAGCAGGGCTTCCAGCAGCGGGTGGCGGCCGGCGGTGACGGCGAGGGGCCCGCTGGGGGTGATGCGGGGCCGCACATACTCGTGAGGCGAGCCTGGGGGGAACCGCGAGTAGCTCATGGTTAGTTGACGCTGGCGCTAATCTTGGATGGCGGCGTGCTGCTGCGTTGCTGTGCGATGCGCGAATAACAAGCGGGTTGTCAGCGGCCGCAGGAAGCCACTTTGCAACCAACCCTGGGCCAGTTTAGTTGATGGGCAGGCGGGCGATGTTATTGTGTGCGTACGCCCCTGGCTGGAGATGACGTGGAATCCAAGCGCGGCGTCTGCTGAGTCGCATCAAAAGGTATAACCCTGACTCACCCGTGACGGCCTGGAAGAACGACACCAGCATGTCCAGAAGGGCCACGCTGTCGATGATCTGGGTGTTTTGGAGGGGGGTCCAGGGTAGGCGGGCGTTTGCACTGGAGGGGCAGAAAGTGTTCCAGAAAGCAGCGTGCTCAGCGAGTCGGCCGGAGCCCAGGGCAACCGAGCGTGATGCGGTGGGAATAGCGGCCGATGTGCCAATGCAAAGCCCCCAGCATCCACAAGGCCCCTGCCCCGGCCCCTCCACCATGACGCCGTGGCCGTGCAAGCTTTGGGCCCCCGGGCGCGCCTGCAGCAGCAGCGGCATCTGCGCCAGCGCCTTTGAAACCAAGCCGTCCAGCACCTGCGAGATGTGCCGCCGGGGGCGCGCACGGCACCGTCTGCTGGGCGCAGCTGCTTCCTTAATTAATCAGCGGTCAAACCGAAAAAAGAACCCCGCCACTGTATGCACAGGGGCGGCAACCTCAGCAGCAGAGACGCCAAGTTGCGGCCACACTCGGCCACCGGCACCGACTTTCAAAGCCTGCGTCTGAGAGCAATAGGGTTTCCGTCCGCTCGCCTGCTGAGTCAGCATGATGGCGTCCGCCGCCGCGTCCCTGAGCCGCGCGTTGAGCGCGTTGAGCTCGTGTGTGGTGGCCAGGACCTGCCCGCGGCCGCGCTGCTCCAGCACCAAGAAGCCGCTGCATGGGGGGTACGAACGGTTCAGAAACGGGTCATCCTCGTGGCCAGCCACTCATTGTTTGGATGCTGGGATGGCGCAATACTGGCGTGCTGGCAAGGTTGCTGAGAGGCAGGATGTGACGACAATGGGGTGAGTCAGCCAGGCAGCGCCGCCGATAGACATCCGCGCCCACCGTGGCAGCTGGGGCTGCGTTGCTGCCACTGCGGCGGGCCCGGTGGCGGGCTTGGGCTGCGGCAGCACGAAGTGCCACCCCTTGGCGTGGGTGTATTTGGCCTGCAGAGCGTGGATCAGCAGGCGATGGGGTGGTGCGAGGGCAAACCGCGCGGTGCGCGGCAAGGGAAGGGTTGCCCCAACGAAAAGACAGCATGAACACGCACCTTTGAGGTCAGGCGGAGTAAGGGCTCGTGGGTTAGAGTCAGCGCGCGTGTCATTCGCTGGCGCCTGGTCAACCCCTTACTGCAGGCAGTACTGTAGCAGACTGCTCCGCGGGCCTCACGGCCTTACCCCGCACCTTCAGGCCCGCCAGCGCGGGCTCGGCCCTTTGCTTCTCCGCCAGCGACCGGATGGCCTCTGGGATACGGCCAAGCCAGCAGGGATTGTGGTACGGAGGAATAGGCATGCACATTCAAGGGGAAGGACACCCACATGCCTGATATTGGGCATGTGCTGTGATCACAGGCATGGAGTGCCGGCGCTGGGTGTGGGGCGCCCGGGGGTCGCGCGGGCTGGTGCCACTGGTCGTGCAGCAGCTCGCACCAGTGCGCATCACCGGCCCCCTCCTCTCCTGTATCCGGCAGTCTTGCGCCCGCATGTAGCCACATGCACATCTGCCCACCTGCCACCCGACCGCCACACCCACCCGTGAGCCTGTTAAAGGTGGTGCGCGCCATGTCCAAAAAGGGGTCCACGTTTGACCGCACCGCCCACACCTGGTGCATGCGCCCAGCGAACGCCCCCTTGCTGGCCTGTGTTGGTGGCGGCATCGGGCATCGGGGCCAACAGGTGAATGATGACGAGTCACTACCCTTATGCCCCAATGCCATCCATGCAGGGTACCGTGCGCGGCCGGACCCATGATCACTTTGTGATCATGGGCCGATCTACGCAGTTGGGGACGGTCGTCTGGAGCTGGACAACACAACAGCACTTGACTGCTCAACGCATGCACGCGCCCCCCCTCCCCAGGCATGTGGGCCCCTCCTGCAGACCAACCAATGCATGCATGCATGCATGCCTTGCATGCCTCCCCTCATGCGAGGGTGCACCACCCATGCGTGCATTTGTGTCCGTCATCCTGCGCCTTGCCTACCTGCGCCTCCTCTTCCAGGGCCGCTTCCACATCTGCCAGCAGATCCTGTAGCTCAGGCCGCACTAGGTTGGAGCGCACCTGGGGTAGGAGAGGGAGAGGGTCTTATCTTGAAGGGGAGCACCCAGTGTGCACGTCCGGGGTGGCGGCCGCCTCACATACACCTCGGTGCTGAAAACTGCACTGCTGGGCAGCTTGGTGTGCAGCCTGAGCTTTGATGCAAAATGGGCATCTGAATTTGCCCCGCTTGCTGCGCAGCAATATACTGCACTCAACAAAAGGAGCCGGTCCAGGAGGTACTTGCACATTTATGCGTGCCACAGGGGCGTGACGCTCGAAACACGCACCGCGCCCAGCAGCGGCGTCGCCACCCACGCCATCGACTCTGACAGCGCCGGCAGCGCGCGCAGCAGGCAGCGCAGCAATATAACTGCCTCAACCTGAGACGCGATCTGCGGTCCCATCATCCCCATGGGGCGGGAGCAGCAGCATGGGGATGGGTGAGCGGGGGCATGCACCTGGGGTTGGGTGCTGGCGAATGCATGCATGCCTGCCTGCATGCATGTGTGATGCATGCACGAGCCCTTGCAACCGAATTTGAATGTAGGTGCAATGCTCTGCCACCGTGTGCATGCATGCGTCATGGTCTGCCCTGAAAGCCTGACCTTGAGCGTTGGGTCCTTGGTCGCCGCGGGAGCGCCGGCCGGTCGCTGTCGCGTTATCGCCAGGTTGGAGCACATCTGGGTACCACATGCGCAGGTGTGTTTTCAGGGGAGGCAGGAGTAGGCGTCGCAGGGGAGGCGGGAGCGCACCGGGACGCACAGGGGCGGTGAGACGCCATCAACACACCGGCTTGACTGCTGTCACTCAGACCGTGCGGCCCTCTTCCGCGCATCTCCCAGGGTCATCAGCGGATGAAATTGCGTGCGCCTTAGCATCACTGCCATCAGCCCCAGGAAGCCCGAATCGCGTCGTCTGCGTTCCCAGAGCCTTCCTCGCGCCCTGCCCTCGCCTTATCAAGCTGGGGTGGCAGCTGCTCCAGCAGCGCGGCCGCCTCAAGCGCGAGGTGGGGCGACTCCAGCAGCTCAGTGAGTGCGTCGAGCCTCAGCTCGAGCGTGGCCACATCTGTAAGGGGCTGCAGGCGGCAGAGGGGCGGCAGAGGTTGCAGCCGTGGGCGGCGGTGTTCAGGGGACTGTGCGAAGGCGGAGGGGGGGGCGGACCGCGGCGGGACAGAAGCAACGGCGAAGGGAGGGGGAGGACGTGAGCAGGGGCGGTGGCCTATCGCACCTGTAAGATGTTGGTGCGCAGCAGCCGCGCCCCGCAGGCAGTAGAGGTGTGCTCGAGGAACGCGAGCAGGGACGAAAACCGCGCCGCGGCCGCGGCCGCGACCCGCCCGCCGCCTCCGCCACCGCCCCTGCGGCCACCCCCGGCCCCGCCCGCTGCGGCGG